GTTGAAGAGGAATGGTGAGATTGGGCAACCCTGCCTAGCCCCACTGCTCGAATGGAACAATGGAGAGAGGTGGTTGTATGCCCTCACTCTGCCTGAGGTGTTTGTATATAAGGCTTTTAGGATGTTATTAAACTTCTCAGGTACACCCTTATTCAATAGACAATCCCAGAGTACAGTCCTGTCCAATGAATCGAAGGCAGCCCTGATGTCAAGAAACACCACGATTGTTGGCCTGTGATAAATATGACGGTGTTCTAACATTTGGCGGAGGGTGAAGATATGATCAATACATCCTCGATCAGGACGAAAACCAGACTGCTCCTCGCTAGTCAATCTTTCTCGGGTTTTGAACAACCTACGAAGTATGACGGAAGCCAATAGCTTGAACGCAATCGGAAGTAGACTTATCCCTCGATAGTTGTTACAGGAACGACGTGAACCCTTTTTAAAGATAGGGACAACTATCGACTCATTCAATGACGTTGTCACATTCTCTAGTTCCCGGACATTTGTAAACAGCACAACCAGTTCCTTAGTCAGAAAGTCACCACCATCTTTAAAAAGAGCCGGAGGTAAGTCATCTGGGCCAGGTGATTTGTAGCGGTCTAAGAGTTGAAGTTCTTTAAGGACTTCCTCCTCATTTGGTGGATCAGTCGTCACCGGCCATGGAGGGCAGGACAGTCTGACCGATGTTGCCGAAGCAGCAGGCCAGTTGAACTGCTCTTCGAATAATTCGTCCCATCGTCCGAGACGTCAATGGATGTTAGTGATTGGCATTCCATCATCCTCGAAGATTGTTTCGCTCCCGTCAGATTTCTTGCTGCCAGTGGCCCCGATGAGTTGAAGAGAGCTTCAGGTAATTACCAGATGCAGCTGCGGCTTTCAGCTCATTAGCACGCTCCGACCACCGGGCTTCTCGTTCCTTACGCAAGCTTTGCCCGTTTTCATTACGTAACGGCCTTCGCTTGTTGTCAAACTCACGGTCACCCGAGTAGATCGATGGGTCTCAATGAGTCGTAAGGAACCAGAAGAAACCTAGTGCTTATAAGTAGGACGTTCCGCGAAGCAGCAAGCGGCTTTACTCACCATTTTGATGGCGTCATGAAGTTGCAACCAATGCTCATCTATACTTTTCGGTGGAATGGTAGCTAGCCTAGAAAGTAGCTCGGTTCGATACTCACTTGCAACAGAAGTTGCAACCAGCTTGCTAACATCAATCCGTTGGTGGCGGTCACTTCGTTGGCCACTGAAAAGTAAGGTAAGATTGGCGCAGACCAGGGCATGATCAGAGTCCAGATAGGTACTCCAGCAGAAGCGGCAGTCTTGTACACAACCACGCCAGCAGTAGCTAGTCGCGATGTGATCAATCTGAATCCAGGCTTGAGATGCAGAGGGAGGACTTCAGGTGGCACATCGGCGATGACTGTACCGGAAGTTAGTGCTAGCCAGAAACAGATTGTGGTCTGTGCACAGTTGCAGAAGATGGTCCCCATTATCTGCCCTGCGACCAACAAGTTCCCATCGGCTACTTAGACGCCCGACCTGAGCATTCAAGTCCCCGGCTAGTACTACAATATCTGTCGAACGCACTTTCTGGAGAAGAACAGTTAACTGGTTGTAGAATTCATCCTTGATTGCATTCGAGCTGCAATCTGTCGGAGCATAGACGGAGATGACGAAAAGACATCGTTCCTCACTTTGATAGAAATTTCTAATCTAACAGCACATAACCGACTGTTAATGGGGATCCAGTCGATTAGTGCTGCCTCAGCTCTGGCGCTTAGTGCGACACCAACGCCAGCAAGACCAGACGAAGTTGCCACAGGGTCCCGGGATAAACGAGCTTAAAACAAGCTTTTTGAAGCGACAGATGGAGAGCGAATTTGTAGTACGTGACCAGAGTCTTGAATACGGGTCTCGGATAGACAACAAACGCCCCCAAATGTCCTGGTACGGCCGAGAGTGTGGAGAGTCCGCTCTCCCTCTCGAAATACTCTGATACGGCCGCGCGTATACAGCCTCTGCCAGGGAATTCCTACTCATTGCCTTCTCGTGGCGGGGGTGTTCTTTACGAAAATGAGAGGATGAAAAGCGAATGTCTGGCGCTTTAACCGGATTCCAAACTAATGGTGCCCATGGGCTCCAGTAAGCTGAAGGAACAAATGGCGTATGAACCAATTGTTGGTCACCGGCTTCCATGGGACTGCATCTCCTTACGATCCCCCACTGCCTTGTGGATCAGACCTTCAGGTCAAAGGCTCGGGGGTGGCTCCCTAAGAAATCCACCTGCTTCGGTTTGGGCACCCGGGCAGTATCACAGCCCTCACACACATCGAATGAGATTTGTGTGGCGCATATGTATTTGGTGCCTCCTTGTACCAATATCTATGTGTTAAAATAAATAATAAATAAATAACAAACGTCGATATTAAGACTTTCCAAAGACAGCCAGTCCTATCTGTTGTCCGACCTGCATAAGTGTGTAAACGTTGAAGGCAGCTAGTTTGAATGGTGCATGTGGTTTCAGAAAAACTGCTTCAGTATTCGTATTTGGTGGTAGCATACAATTTTCAACCAGGCAGTGACTCGAGAACGTTTAGATAGAACCGAGTTTCCACCATAGGCGAGCTGCTGTATAAGTCGAAAAATAAGGATGCATAAAGTGGGAATAAAAAAGAGTGAATAAATGACGTAGTAAATAATAATAATGTGGATTGTTTAGCTGTTAATCGAAGCGTGAATAGAATTTTTAGTAAATATCGTCATTTTCATTTTATTTGTGTGTGGGCTGTGATACTTCCCGGGTGCCCAGATCGAAGCAGATAGTTTTCTTGGGGGGCCAGACCCCGAGCCTTTGACCTAAAGGTCTGATCCACAAGGCAGTGGAGCATCGTGAGGAGATAAGTCCCATGGTAGCCGGTGACCAACGATTGGTTCACATGCCATTTGTTCCTTCAGGATACTGGAGCCCATTAGTTTGGGATCCGGTTAGAACGCCAGACATTCGCTTTTCGTCCTCTCACTTTCGTAAACAACACCACCGACACGAGAAGGCAGTGAGTAGGACTTCCCTGGCAGAGGCTGTATACGCGTGGCCGTGTGAGAGCATTTCTAGAGGGAGGGCGGGCGCACCCCACTCTCGGCCATACCGAGGCATTTGGGGGCGTCGGTCGTAATCAGAAAATCATTTCATTTGTAACTAATTTATTTCTTATTGTACAGTTCTAGTAGTCTATAAGTTAAAACAATCAGTTTCCAATCAACAGGTGATCATTGTATCAAATCTTAATACTAACTACTTTGATTCAAGGAATCCGGTACAATGTGTTATTAATCATCATACACAAACAGTGTGCTTCATATTTGTTATGATTTTAGATGCTAATCGATATCACATGCTAAAGTCACCAATTGGAATTCCGATTTCAATTTTTTTTCTATTGTCGCGTCTACTATTTCTTCCATAGCCCAGTATCCTAGACCAATTACACATCTGAACTGTACTACTAATCTTGAGACGACGCAAAACAAGCTCCTATAGGTCAGCTATTCAAGTCTTTCTCTATCGCCTCCCTTGAGTTCAAAGAGAAATGAAAAAGCAGTTTCTACTATATATTTCAAGCGGATGTGAATTTATATACAAATATACTGGACAACACCACATCCTAAATCGAAAAAATAGTAATTATACGTAGAGAATAAGGTAAGTTGTAAGTAATTGACTGGGTGTGAATTACGAATAGTAAGTAGTATGATAAAAGTTAGCGAGTCTAACGAAAGCTTACGATAAATGGAAAACGAGAAAAAGTAACTCAGTTACTAAGTAACTAAGCAATAAGAATATAAATAATAATATATTTGTATCTTTATATCAATGTGGAATTCATTCTTCAAATATAAGAGTTTGAGGATAGCTTTAAATACATATATTGAACAAATGAAGTTATTAGTATAATAATTTTTCGAAAATCACCCAATTTTCTTTTTATATCACGACACTGAGCAGTCTAGAGAGTTGACTAAAAGCAACTATCGGAAGTCAACTGAATAACCCTTAAGGGTAGCCTGATTGTTGTGAGTGTTGAAGGTTTTCGTCTCTAAATTTAGCCAGGTCACCGGTTGTGCACTGTTGATAAGTTCCGTACTAAGGTGAAACATATACCCAATGTTTCATGGTTTTTAATGGTTGTCTAGACTAGAATCAAATCATAAAAGGAACTGGAAAATTAAGTACTTTTTTTGTTTACAAGCAGTACTAACCATTAATTATACAAACCTTGTAAAACCCAATATCAAATAAGTTCAGTGCTATTTACTCTAAATCTGATTCTCCAGATGGATTTAATTTTAATGTTAGTCATAAGCAAGGTAAAACCTGGTACATACATGTATTGGTTTAGCATAACACACTAAATAAGCTTAGCGAGATGAAATTATCAAGATAAGCATTAGAGAAAAAGGAGTAGTAAAAGTACCAATAACAGTAGAAAATATCAAGAAAAGACAATTTAATTCGAGAAGAATGGATTTATAGAATAAACGTATAGGACAATTTTAAAACTGAATATCAAGGGGAAAGCAAAAAGTGAATGAATCTGCGTCATTGCAACCGATTGAGATATGTCATTCAACGTAAGCAGCCATTGATTATGTTAATTCCATGGATCACAAACAAGTAGTCTGCAACGACCAACAGGGCTCAGACGAACGCTAATCGACTTCATGGACTGACATTATGTCTTTGTATCAGCGTACTTTCACGTGAGCAAGCATCAAGAGTTGAAGTGGATGGTATTTGGACATATGTAGCTATTTCTGTCGATAAAGATTCATAACCTCACTAACTGGTAAGCCAACTTAACCTAATACCCTGCATTTAATCGCACTTCAGTTCATTTTAATAGATAAGAGATTATTAACTTTTCTATGTATATTAATCAAGTCTTACTTTCAATGAATAAAAAAGTTTTTTAGCCAAGAGAAAAGAATAAAACAAGTTGTTTTTACTATTAAAAACATTTATTTAAACTATCAACTATGTACATTTTTTACAATGCTTGACATATCAGATGATGATTGTAAATCAGAAGGTAGAATAGTCGGTGTTAATTCATTCCAAGGTTTTATCAAGGTATTATCATTATTATTATTACCACTTAGTAAAGATGATGAAGACGAAGAGTTAGACCGAAACTCACCAAAATAACGTACACCTAATTGTTGAGAATGTCGCCCTTCATTTACTACAGATATCGGGAGTGTCGATGATAGTGATTGAATATATTTTAAGAAATAACCATTATATAAATCAATAGCTGTTAAGTGTCGACTCTTCGTTGATGAATTAGGCCAATTCACTAAAAAGCTTTTAACAGCTAACCATGATACAGAATTAATCTGGGTTATAATAGGTGAAGAATTGTTTGGCTTACAAGCAATGAAAGTGTATGGTATTAAATGATGTTTCACATCTTTTTGTGAACGTAAATATACAATACTTCCAGGTGGTAATGATGATGTATGTGGTTGATGCAGAAGAATTGAAGCCTCGTTGAGATAGTCCATAACCTATGAAAAATAACATAAGTAATAATAAAAAAGCCTATTTAAATTAGATATCCTTTATATTACCAACTGTGACCAGTAGAGTTCAACCATGTCAGGAGTAACACTATTTACTAGCCATCAATGTGATAGGACTTTGTTATTCGCGCAATGTTGAGAGTTAACTGAAGCTAGAAGTGGACCGGATATTAAATCAGTGGTCTGAAGGTCTTAGATTCGATAATTGGGGTGATCATGGATAGACACTGTTGATAAGTTCTAGTCCTAGGACGAAATAACTGTCCGCTGATTTCTGGTTCCCAGAGGTTATCTATCCATAGTCAGACCGTGATGTAAATTATAAAATAACACAAATTGTTGTTGTCATGAAACTTAAAAGTTTGATTCTTTTACGAGTCGTGCGTCGGCACTGTTGGAGTGTTGCAAATAAAGACGAAACCATTATCCACAACTTCTTGATTTTCAATAGTATTATATAGTTGATGCCAACTCATAGTAAATCATCTAATTAAGTAATAATTGTTTAATTATTAGTACATTACATATGCAATTTCATAATACTATAAAGAAAACAATATTCTCCGTAGATCAAGAAATTCTATTTAACTAAGCTTATTCAACCAAATTTTCTGTAAATTTCCATTAGTTAGTAATGCTCAAATACCTTGAAATTACTTGAGTTAAATAAGAACTTTCGTCTAAATGTGGTCGAATAGTTTCACAGTATTTGGGTCTCGGGTTGATGTGAGACATTAAAGAGAAACAATGTATTTGTAACATTTCAACGAATGAATTTGAAGTAAATTCAACGTTTCGTCTGGCAATCTGATCCAAACTTTTTCAAGAAAATATAACCAAACATCAAAATTATCGAATATAAATATGTACATGGTTCTCCAGTTCACTATATACTGAATAGGTCATTCAATCAACGTTAACAATGTTTAAAGTAGGTATTTCATTATTGTGTAACAGACATTGATTGAATGACCTATTCAGTATACAGTGAACCGGAGAACCATGTACCTATTTATATTCGATAATTTTGATATTTGATTATATTTCCTTGAAATAGCTTGGACCAGATTGCTAGGTGAAACGTTGGATTGACTTCAAATTAATTCACTGAGATTTTACAAATACATTCTTTCTCTTTAACGTCTTAAATTATATGGTACATATTAATTATTGAGTATCAAAATCATTCATGAACAACGAAATAACAAAAATTATATATTCACGTGAAATGATTTAAAAGAGGATAGATTGACAATTGTTTGAGTAATATTTTCAGTTATAACCTTAAGGGAAACTTTATTAGTAGTTCAGAGTTCAACTAAAAGTTTGTGTACATTGGTTTATAGACTTGACTTTGACTAACTGGTTGAAAATCAAATGACTTATCGACTAAACTACTGGTATACAAATCAAATAACAGTTAGTGTATTGTGTTTTTTTTAATTAACGATTTACATCAGTCTCATAGAAATTTTTAAGTAGTATGTCAAATCTATGTATTTTCATGTCAATTAATGTGTGACTATTGGAAGTAAAATTTAATTGGCTACCGAGCACGAACAGACAGACAAAACTTACTAACTATTTAATATCGAATTTCCTTTTTATCATTGATTTATACTCTAGACTCACTGAGTGTAAACTGCTGGTAATTGTGCTGAATAAAGTATTGTCTAGCCTATCCTCTGATTCTAAAGATTTGGTCGTGAATATTTTGTCTGGTATAATGTGTTCCAGTTTGTGTATATCATATCAATCGATCGCGTATCCAGTCTAGCGGTAATATAATACCAATTCTCAGTCATATTATCGTATAATAGTAGTACAACTTGGTGAACAGAAACTAATTTTATTCCTCCGTTACACCATCAAGACTATCCATCACCTAAGAATAATCATAATAACTTGGAAATTGATTGAATTTGGAAATATGGTTTATTGGATACTGTATCGTGATGTTTATTGATTTACGTGTAAATATCGTGACCTAATTTTAATTTGTTGAATTTATATACCTTAATTATTTACCAAGTACAGGTTTGTTCTAACTGAATAACCGAAACGAAGTAGGTTTTAGGGGCTTCGAATCTGAGACTTAATGGTTGAAAGTCAAGCATATTAGCCATTCACTCTGTTGCAAGATTTGGAGGTGCTAGGTTCAATTTGACTGGTGAGGTAGTGAGGGCGCACTGTTGAGTAGTTTCAAGCTAGAAGGAAACAACTGTCTAATGTTTACTGGTTTTCAATAGTCTTCTCCAACTAACGTCAGTCCGCAGTTGAAATGAATTTAAAAATAAATATTATAATACCACAAACTTTGGACTCATAATTTGGACAGTATATATCGGCAGCTTCAGCATTATTCTGTCCATTGTTATTGTTAGAAACATGATCAACGTGTGGTACCAACAATGGACATTCGGATAGACGAAAATTTGCAATTAAAGAATTATTCTCTTTCTCTTCTTGTACAGTGTTCAATAAACAAAGCTCCGTAAATAAATTTACACAAGTGCCTTGAAATGCATGCCAATATCGAATTATATCTTCAGCTGATTGTTCCTGCCAATTTATTAAACCCATGTGGGGTTGAGGTTTACGAGCATACGTTATTGGAAGTTGAAATTTCGCTGAAATCACCGATTGATCAACACCAACTAAATATGGTAAGTTAGGATATAAAATGACCTATAAAACCAATAATATAAATATCGTAATGATGATACTAGGATAGATGACAAGTGTTTTACATTGACTTCATCCATTGCTTGTTTTTTGTATGTTGTTACGGTACACTACTTAAAAATAACCAATAGTTTGGGTATTTTATATAATTTTCACGACTTGTGTGTAATAAATCCATAGTTGGATTGCCCAGTGAGCCACTTTTCTCATTCATTTATGATTTTGTTTCAATGTCTTAATTTAGATTTATATTGGTAGTAGCATTTTATAACCCCCTTCCTTATTTTAACCTATCTCATATGTGTCACTAAAATCTTGTTTATTTTGAAAGACTTGTTTAATCTCTAGAATGCTTAATTTATTTTCGTTAATCGTTGATATTACTGCTGGAAACAGCTGTGTGCTTTTTTGCTAATTAATAGCAAACCTTTTGGTTTAATTCTTATTTATTTATTTGGAGTACATATCTCTTCTTCGACTGAGCTTTCGAATATAAGCTTAACTTTTGGCGATCCTATATTCTTTGATAAGGAAGTTCTAATGTGGTGGTTGGATGTAGTCAACAAGAAACCCTGGACATAGGTCTCATGCTACCTGGCACTCGTTAGCAATGTGTACCTATAGTCTTGAGGGAACTGATGCCCCCTGGCGGATTCGATCCCATGTCAACCAGTTTCACAGTTAAAGATGTTACTACTGAGCTGACCGGACCGCGACTGATCTCCTGTAGGACTGATATATTTACAATTGATTGATCACTGGATGGTGATCAATGTCATGTGTGTCAGGTCCGTAATAGAGCATCAGTTCACCACCCAGTGATCAAACAATTGTAAAGATATAATGTTTATGCTAGAAAGAGAGGAAGGTAGACAACCAAACTATCTAGCATATAGAACATGATGGTTCCAAAACTCGTCTTCTGAGCTACAACCTCTACCATTTCAGTAAGTCACACTATTTCCGGTTGCTCCGAAAATTGTTACTAACTGACCATCAATAAGAAGGTACACTTATGTAAGTGCTTTCTGTTCTATTGATGAACTTTTGAAAAAAAAAATTTACTGAGTGACGTATTGTCCACAATCTTTAGGACTATCTTGTCGTTAAGCCTGAGTATTCTTTGACTTTAAATGCACTACAGTACAAACTTAGCTGAAAACTTAACTGTAATCATTTCGGTTAAGTGCTCGTTATGGGACCAGTAGGTCTTCGGTTCAATCATCGGTGGGACAGTGGATACACGCTGCTGAGTCCCATAACAGAATGAAACAGATATCCAATGCTCTATAGTTCTCAATGCTTGAACAGCTAAAGTCAGACGACATAAAAGTACAAAATTAAACCATTCAGTTTGTTGTTTGAAAACATTGAATAAGTCATAAAGGTCAGTACGACTCAAAATATGTTATACAATTTCATGACACTGGTTAGACGAAAATCTATCCTGTTGGAAATGTGGAACATAGGTAGTCAGAGTGACGTCTAACAATTCATAATCTCGACTGGAATATAACAGCATAAATATAATTAGTTAAAATGTTCGATTGTAAAGTATGAAACCGAATCCAACTAGATCTTACCTCAAACATAGCATTAATGCTGTGTGGCATTAAATATGTAGCTAATTGATTCGGTGTTAACATTGTATTCTTATTACAAGGTAGGCGAATGGACTTTTGATACAAAACAGACCCAGAGTCGAAAGTTGTATGCATCGGATTCAATCGGAATAAGGTAATCCCAGTAACTTTATCATCAGCTAATAAAGTATATAATAATGGGTTAGAACCTTTCCATCTTGGTAATAATGATGGATGTATATTAAAGCATCCATAATTGAATAAAGACAATAGTGATGAAGGTAGAAACCGGCCAAATGAAACAATTACGCCTAACAATTTCTCTGGCTTATCCAAGGAATTAATATTTTGCAATTTATCTATTCGTTGACTAACAGAGTTGATGATTATTGAATTATTCGTAAGCGTGCGTGGCCAAATCACGTGATCTTTTCATGGAAATCAGAAGATGGGTTCGAAAAAAGAAAGGATTACATGGATTTATTGTAATTTTGATTTATTACTTTCAACTTAAAATTAACGTCGCGTACCTTCCAAGAACTTTCTTTTAAAAAAAATAATCACATCAATTAAAGCCAGTTTTCACCGCGGGTATACATCAGGGATAACTGAGAATCTGTTTTATCCTCGTTTGAGACTCTTTAGTGTGGTGAGAAATCGCAGCCTCACCTAAGTTAAATACAGGACTTTCGGATTCTTCAGTGTGTGTCAACCCGTAGGGTAATGGTTAGGGTATTGAACTTTGGACCACTACATTGGAGCTTCGAATCCCACTTCACTTACTTTGGTTTGGACAACCGGGTAGTATAAATCATTTTTTATTCTTATTAACTCATTCACCAAGTGCTGAAGTACGAACCACATTTTAAATACGAGGGGTAATGATACTAATCGGTCACCCAAAACTAGGTAGGTAGAATGGGGTTCAAACCAAGGACTTAGTGGCTAAAGGTTGAAAGCCTGAGCGATTAGCTCTCGCACTTTAAGTGTAGCTTAAAGTTGAGCACATGGATCTGTATGTGGTAAACGGGTTAGATCATGATTACCAATCCATCCTGACAACTAAATTTAAACTAAACAATCATAATATACACTTATGCCTCAGTAATATTATTTAAGCTATGTGAAGAAATTAAAACGGTTAGTAATTCTAGCAGTGTATATGAATATGCATTGCTTATAATTCTTACTGACTGTATGTCATTATTTCAACAAAATTTCATTTCACTACTCTTCGTGAGTTAACGAAAAGTTATAGTGAATAGAAATGTCATAGATCTATGGTATTACTGTTTATTATGTTCAAATGACAGTGAGTAACGTTTTAATTATACAAGACTTGAATAAAACTATTATGGTATATTATAACAAACCTTATGGTTAAGATAAAATAAAGTCTAAAATTTCTAAAGGTACATGGTTTACATTGTGTTGAAATTAGATGGCTCCATCATTGACACTAGGTCACAGAGAAACACTCCACGGAGAGTATTCGTCCGGAGATACACCAGTAGGAACAAGTTTCAACTGATGAAAACACTAGGCTCAGAGATTGATATCAAGTGCCTTCAGTTACCAACCTAATATGAAACTTGAGTTTTATGGGAAATCAATCATTAATGAACGTAAGCTTCATGAATAATGACTAATTGTAGGTTTGAATTGCACTACTACTTCAATTTAGGTAGATATGCAATATAATCACTAGCCTTCATACAAATAGTCAAGTTTAATACCTAGTAGATAAACCTGTACCTGGCAAATGGGTTAAATAAAAAGTAAAATTTTTGATCAGAAAAAATTATTTCAAAATAATATCAATAAAACTGTTTGGTACTGGTTTCATTTTAAACCATGGAAAAAGCTTTGTGTGGTATACACACCTATTTTATTCTGAATACAATGATATCTAACAGGAGTTTTATCTGAGGTAGTAACCACAAACAATAATCGAATATCTTTATGTTGAGATTGACGCTCTTCCAAGGCGTGTAAATGAGGTAATGAATAATGATCGCTCCCAAAAAACACCACGCTGATAATTGAACGTGTGAAGGTAGGGAACTGTGATGGACATGTAAACGGTAATTTAAATAAATAACTCGAATTCATGTTATCCTTTAGCAAATATGTGAGTCATCTGTAATAAAAAAGATATAAAATGTAAGTGTAAAAACTTTTATAAAGCTAGTCGTGCAGAAAAACCCCACGAAGAAAGATTTCTATGCATACTTTAATACGTACTTGATGGACTTGGTCGTGGTTACATAATTATGTTTTATGTCGTTAAGAAAATTTTCTTCGCTGAATTCTCTTTATTTTTATTCAATGGCACAATGGGTTATTTTCATATCTACAATAGTAAGTGTAAAATAACGAGCCAGTGGCCTGGCAGCTCGATTCTTAATCTTTGGATCAGGTCTAAACTCACCTAAACCATACTAATTTAACTAACAGGGTAGTATGGTTAATACATGTTTACTTAGTACACAAACTTTCGCAGAGTTAACGAGTAGCAATTAGTTACCTTATTACTGGATAAGTACGTTAGATTTTGCTGCGAGAAACAAGAGTAATAGTAAAAAAACACCACAACTCTAAACAGCAGTTTCTTTAACTGGAAGATTAGTGTGCTTTTGATTCAACAAATGGCTACTAATTTTAAAGTTTCACGTTTGTTATGAAAAATGTATGATTGTTGAAGTTAAATTCATTCAAATACTGCGAAATATACTTGTAATTTGAGTAGGAAATACACGAACAAATAATGACAGGAAATCTAACGCAAATAAGTATCTACCTATTTTGAAATACTTTGTGTCAACACGAGGGAAAACTTACAATTTAATGACAGTTAAAGTAAAAAAAAGACACAAAGAAAACTGAATGATGTTTATAGAATAGTATGTCCCAGATAAATAATGAATGCACTTGTACTATAGAGACTGATTTTAATGCATGTCAACTAAAGCTCTTGAACTTATATCATGATTATTCTTGTGAATACTCTAACAACGAAGCTAGGATCTCTCTATGCAATTCGGGATAACATTCTATGATTTTATGGACTGATGCCAAGTATTTATTTGAGTGTTCTTAGTTTTTAATAATCTACTCATATGATAACCGTTATACCAGATGACCATATGGGCCCACTTATCTCACGTCATGATCACCTCATATTAATAAAATCATCATTTTCACTTAGCACTCTACACCTAACACTAATATTGTATACTCAACTATGATCCAATAATAGAAGCTGATGTTTATATTCGATCCTAGAACTTGATGATTCACAGATCAACATTCTTGTCGTTTTTAGGCAGATGGGTATTTAAATTTTGCAATAGGTGGGATAAGCTGAGTATTTATGTAGTCATATTAACTCTTCCATAGAGTAATTTACCATCATATATAGTACATAATTGCCCCCAAATGCCTTGATACGGCTGAGAGTGCGGACAGTCAACTCCCTTTCGAAATGCTCTCACATGGCCACGTTTATACAACCACTACCAAGGAAGTCCTACTCACCGACTTCTCGCAGTGGGTGTTGTTTACGAAAATGAGCGGATGACAAAAGAATGTCCTGGGCTTTAACCGGGTCGGTGGTCAAGGAGGGTATTTTGTCTAGATCCTCACACAGATAACAAGCGAATCGTAGCTTCTTGGAAAAGTTACAATTATATGAGTGGATATTGGGAAAACATAGTCGAAAGGTTAGAAAACCTCTGTTAGCTGGTCACTGCAGGAACAGAGAGGAAGCATTCACGGAAATTATTTAGCACGCGAAGTCTAATTATAAAGTCTTTACAAAGATGTGCTGTCGTAAGACCTTGGGAATTTTACTCGTTCAACCAATTAGAAGACAGAAAGATAATAATATGATAAGAAGTGGGTCGATAAAATGGAGTTTATAGTCCTTGGATTATATCTGAAGCCGATTGGTGATGAAACCACAGAACATAGAAATAATATTAATTTCTCACATTAGCTAATATCCCTATTATGGAAATATAGACCGTGATCTTGAGATGATTTGCATATCCGAAATGAACTTAGTGATATAGCACAGCTCAACCAAAGTCTTTCCTCGATTGGTTTGGCTTACGCTCCAAAAATATCAGTTTTCACAACTTTTCGAAGCAGAGAAATAAATTTATACTGGGTTGAACATGGTACCTGATAAGTCACAGCAATTTACATATTCATTTGATGAGACTATATTTGCGGACGAAATAATCAGATTTAGGATAGCAATTGTAATCTTGTCATACAATCTTATGAACTGAAGCATCAACTGAATAAATAGAGGGATTGCATAGCAAACAGGAAGTATATGAAGACGTTTGATATGTATATATATACCATAACAGAATGGAGGTTATCTATTTATTATTTTCTTTTCTATTACAATCGTCTAACATGACAACCATTCAAAGCCCACGACCTTGAGTGAGTCCGACTTTACGCTGCAAAGGTCATTGTGATGTGAAGATCAAGAAACAAAACCATTAAGCTTGTGCTTTTTAATATTTATCCACATTTATCGCCCACTGCACCAAAGTAATACGGTGAACGTATTGTGAAAACAGTCCGAAAATATCGTCCTCATGCATAAATTAGCGAATCCAGAGAGTTCGTAGGATACTGTTAATCTCGGTAGAAGAAAATCCAGCGAGACTATAATTTATGGACAAACCAATCAGACATAAGATAACAGGTTTTGGATTTCGGTGCGATATTCATTCATTCATTTGGCCAAATAGCGTTTTGTCATTTTAGCTGATGTCATTTCGTGATGACAACACTAGATTTAATTTCTAACCCCAACCATCAAATGAAAATCATAATTCTCATTCTTCATACTGGTTTGTAACCCTTATTTATTTTTAGTAGGTGTACATACCCAAGGTCACTTTAGAGTCGCTCAGAGGTCGCCCATCAGTTATAGTCTCACCGAAGATCCATTCAGTCATCATTGGAATCAAGTTGGTGTCCCGAGCAGTCAAAAAAGTCATGTAATTATCGTACATAATATAGATGGTGTTATAGAACGGCAGAATTCATACTTAACGTACACTTCTAAAAGGATTTCAATGAAAAACATAGTTTCTGCTTTTACTCTTGAGACTTTCCAGAGAAAAGGTTCACTGCTCACAATGTGGAAGAAACCGGGATATTAGAGGTCAAGATGTTGCAAAGAAGTTATATCGTTGTACATGCTGGCTCACCCTATTGTGACAGTCATTAGGTGCTTCCAAGAACACGTTTAGATTGGGCACGGAATGACATTTTAGATATAAAAGCACGAGGGTACACAGAGAGACCACGCCTGAGTGACTAATCCATGCCGCCTGAATCAAATGTTTTCACCTCAATTACAGTCGACCTTACCCGTGTGTCCAGCGGATAATTCAATCTTCCCTGCTAGTGTACGTTTAGCTTCAATGTTTGCGTGGCTAGGAACCAGTGCTAGTGCACTTCAACTTATGTACTTCACGATTTCGGTAAGTCGCAAATGCAGAAGACATTCCTATTCACAGAGGTAATGAAATGATAATTAATCTCTTGAGGTAGCTTATTACGGACCTACTTATATGTTGAGAATACTGTGTCATACAACTCAAATACTCAGCAGCTAAGTTTATTATTGCTTTTGCACAGATGGGGATGATAATATTATTGAAATACAGATGAGATGAAGCGTTGTGAAATAATCCATTATCGTAATTCTGAGACTTATGACATCCCGTTGAACGAACTCGTTGTTCTAACAACCTTTTAAATTATATTGGGCTATTGCAATTGAAAAAAGCTGTCAAGTAGCTCAAATTGTTTGACAGTCTTGATTTATGACAGTAGGCACGCGATAACCGACACTCAACCGTGAAGGATTTGTTATCTACAACAACCGAAAGTTCAGTATGATAGTGCAGTTGTGTTAAGATACCAACACTGAAGTCATGAACAGAACAAGTTTGCGGTCTACACAAAAGAGCAATACGACACTTCTTATAGCAGCCTAAAATAGTTTTATTGCCACGTTGAAAACACCATCAAACGAATGCAATTTGAAACGCTTATTAGCGTCAATATGATGTCAACTGAGTTTCCATAAATGTTTGAAGAAGCAGGGCTCGTCATACTTAATATTAAAGTGTACGTCGATCATCAAAGTTTCGCAAGTTATCTGGACACCGGAATTCTGCAGGACAGTGAGAAAAGCAATCCGACATAGCTTTTACCCTTCAGATGCACTAGAATCAAAATGTCTTATCCTTGGGGGAGGATGAGGACCTAGAAATTGACGACTTTGTGCAGGGCTGTTTCTAATTTTTGATGGAAAGAACCACATGTGACAATGGAAGGAAGGCAAACTCAAGTAACTTAAAGAATACCATATCGGTTTGTTGTCTATTTTATTACGGAAAGGCTAGTTTGCCATAAGCGGAAGCAAGTTTTAATTATTTGATTACCATTCGAACGACGGTGTTCCACTTAATTTTCTCATGATTGGCATGTCATAAATTGTTTGATATCATTTATTATTATCCTTTCACCTCATAGCAAATTCTACCATTCTTCGGATACTTAATGCGGATTTGCATAGGATGAGTAATCGGATACTTGCAAATATATGTGTAGGCTAGTTTTCTATCTTGTAAACTCATGAATATATATGCGCAAAAAAACGAACATGTTCAGTTAGATCACATGATCTCAGGGGGTAATAACAGTAAAAATTTGAATGAGCAGGAATTGTTTTAGAATTTCAGGTCGGTTGAGTTCCTTTTCGAAATATTTTAGATATTTATGGTGCACAGATCTTCAGGCATCCTGACAACCACAGCGAATCAGCATAAACTATTGTGACGGATTAGTTTTGCGATAATTCCTTGGGCTTTGTATATTAATTACCCTGATAACTTTTATCAAATAAATCTCAACGGTAGGTAAGGTTAAGTATATAGTATATAGATGGGAAAGCGAACGATTCATCAAACGGCTTAAGCAACTAACATTTAATCTAGACTGAAGGATATGTGCCTTGGCAGTCATATGTGACCAAGAATACAAGTTCATACAGACATGTTAATAATAATAATAATACAAGTGCAGACAAAATGTTACGGTTCGAATAACACTGTCTGTTAAATATTCAGTTGAAGGTTTTTGTAAAATCAACCGTAAACGGACTCAAGTGTAGGAGAGGTGTTACGCGATTTCTTTATCTTGGCATGACCTCGATCTCTTATCAGTAACCAGAAGTTTCCGCTTTTACTACTATACTGGAATACCTAACCATTTCCTATTATATGAATTGTGTCTTACCCTCCTGATAGACAACTAGAACAACCAACCTGATAGCTATAATCCCATTTATCCAACTCAGGGTCTACCAAATACGTGACTATGGGAGCCACTACCCGAAATTAAACACTAATAAAATTAACGACTGTTTCAAATAATCCCAATATCTGCTAACAGTAAGGGACAGTATGCGAATAGCAGTGGATTCGTGCAGATGTCTTGGCGCGTTAATGATTGGGTTTATGCCGTAGTAGTACACGGAGTACAGTCTTCAAAATAATTTCCAAAGTGGCATCGCATCCACGTTACACACCAGATTCGATCTCGGCATAATTGTGTCAGAATTCTGGGCGTGCTATGTATTTACGCAGTACAACTTTTTAAGTTTATAGTTGTTATATAGTAGTCTTGCAGAGCACTTGGTGTCAGCTATGACCTCGAGAAATCGCGTACGTCAAGTTTGTTTCGGACGTCACGTGGGAGTCACATCATTGTCTATTGTGACCAGTTGTGTCGTAACAATCAGCAGTATGATGTTTTATACCAAAAAAATCGTTTCGGTTGTAAATGAAATGATATATTTAAAGTGGGGGTATGGGTTACACGAAATGACTACGCCTGCAAGGCTGGACCATGCCATACCGATCGATTATTGCTGAGTTCACCATTGTTGGCCTTCTCTCCATGTTATTTGTTGAATATGAATTTTTTCAGTGATCCACTGTTTAGCTTCGAAGATCATGTGGTTAGAACCAATAACATTACAATCTAAGCGACATTTCAGTGGCCATCGTTTAAGCGTCCCTCTCTAATCAGGGTGGGAAAAAAACAAACTGTGGTCTGTAAGAGATGTCGCTAGAAGACCGGCAAACACCAAAGGACTAATCAGTGTGGCGTTTCATAGAGTACCAAAGCTGGTGAGTGTTAAGGTGAAGCTCGCGGTTTGCAGCAAGTGTTGACCATAACATGGCGTAAGCTTTCACACTGTCCAGGATACCTCGTCTGTTACACCTCACGACCATTAGGTCAGCGCACACGGTGGAAGTGAATTTCAGAAACCGAGAGGACTAAATCAGGGCCATTCAGGCCTGATAAAACTAAAAAACAGCCTCACTATTCACAACAGATGTGAGAGATGACTTAGATCTGAAGGACGAAGGCAAAACACTGAAGAAAACACACGTTGGTGTTGATGAATTTTGATCAATAATTCACTGAACAGAACACAGAGACCACGTTCTCGCGAGTGGGAAACGCTTTCTAGGCCAGTTCTCACGGATTCACACTCACTACCAAGAGAATGGGGATAAGGTAGTGGGTTTCAATCTCTAAAGGGAGGGATAGGAAAGATACAATGTGCTACAGATCAGTCGCATTGATGCCAGTACTATCGAAGGTAAAGAAAAGGCTATTTAATGGAGAAATGAGAGAACACACAAATGAAGGCGACGTCTTACATGAAGTCCAACACAAGTTTGAAAAAGGCACGTCCTGAGCGTTCAATCTACCCATAGCATCTGATAGCTGAACGACCTGCTTACATAGTTACACCTGTTAATCCTGATAGAGGAACACAGGTTACCAACTAGGATTCTAATCAAACTCTGTCCCAAATAACAAGTCTCTTAAATCAAGTACAAAGACGGGCATTTAAGTGCGTGATTGGGCTGAATTATCAGCCTTAAGAGTATAGACTCTGACACTTGGGATTATTCTCACTGATCTATCGGAGAACGGTAAGCGATGTGATAATGGGTTGCAACATACTAGGAAAAGTCTTCAACAGGGTATCGTTAAACAGAATGAAGGACTCCGTAGACGCCTAACTTAGGGATCAACAGGCTGGATTTCATAAGGATAGACCGTGTACAGACCAAATCGCAACACCACAGATCATTGTGAAACAATCAATTGAATGGAATTCATCACTCTACATCACCTTCATGGACTACGAGAAGGCATTTGATAGCGTAGACGGGACAACACTATGGAAGCTTCTTCGACACTACTGCATGCTTGTGAAGATAGTCAATACCGTATGGAATTCCTATGATGGATTAAACTGCAAAACTGTGCATGGAGGGCAGTTGACAAACTCATTCGAAGTAGAGGCTGGTGTTGCTTACTCTCACCTTTTCTCTTTCTCCTGGTAATCGAATGGATTATGAAAACA